GAACGGCCATTGCGACCAATCTTGGTGTCGAGAACCTCCCGAAACTTCCAAAACTGCTTACGGGGGGCAGGCAGGGTCCAATGTGTCATTCTGTGTCGAGGGCGGCTGGGTGGATGCTAACAATCTTGCGGGCGTATGCTGATGGGACTCCTGAGACAATTGGTTGGGGTGACGCGTTCGACAGCCGCGACAATAGCATAGAAGCACGGGCGAAGTGATCGAGTGGGTCATGCATGTGGTGGCAGGGATGGACGCGTGACGATGGCAGGCGTGCAGAACAGTGAACCCACGTGCCGTGCTTCGTGGGACGGAGCGGTGCGACACAAACTGCTCGCGGGGAGGCGTCCAAGGCGCCGCGGCTTCAGCCTTGAGCGCCCCCACCGAGCTTCTCCTACTTGACTGCGCCCCGCGGCCAGGGGGGGCGCCTCGGGACACCGCGGCTTCAACCTCGAGCGCCCCCCGGGCCCATCCCCCCTTTGACCGCGTCTCGAGGCGGGGGGGAGGCGCCTCGGGACATCGCGGCTTCAACCTTGAGCGCGCCCCCGGGCCCCCTCCCCTAGACCGCGTCTCGCGGCACCACAACTTCAACCTTGAGCGCCCCCCGGGTCCATCCCCCCTTGACCGCGTCTCGCGGCGGGGGGGAGGCGCCTCGGGGCACCACGGCTTCAACCTCGGACGCCCCCCGCCCCCCCCCCCGGCCCCTTTGACCGCCGTGGGGCCAAGGATCCGGGGGGGTCCCGTTTAGGGGGGTGGGTGTTCGCAGGGTCCCAGGTTATCAAAATATAGAACAGGGAATCGATATATCTATATATATATATATATATATATATAGATGTGTCCATATACATTTGCATCTACATATACATATACATACGCATACACATGTACGAATACGTATATATATACACAAGACTGCACTGGCGCTTCGCGCCATGCACCTTGGTCCTTGAAGTTTGGTGTGCAGGCGGAATGGCAGGAAAGTCAAGCCGACAACATAGCGATAACTCCTTGTTGCCTTTTCCGGCATCGCCGTTATCATAATGTTATTCGTTATCCTTCCTCCATGTTTCTTCTCCTCATTCTCGCCATACCCTGCGCAGTCTCCCAATCCTTCTCAGCTCTTTTTGCGGAGGCCCCTCCTTGGAGAGCCTCTGGGGGCCTCACAAAAATTTCCCAAGCTTTCTTAAGGCCTTCTGGAGGCCGCCTGGGCGGGTTCCAGGGGCCTCTGGGGGCTTCCTCGGGCCACCCTGCCTCCACCCGCCGTCTCCCTGAGCGAGTGGGTCACGATTTGGATGCTTCGGAGGGTGTCTTGGGGCCATCATCGGCCGCCATGGGGCTCTCTTAGGGCCATCTTGGACCCCTGTTGTGTCGTTTTGGGGCTCTCTTGGACTGCCTGGAAGCTATTTCGGATGGTTGTGGGGCGATTTTGGAGCCTCCCAGGCGGCTT